TTCTGGTCCAGAATCCAATTCGGGCACCCATACTGCATTTGATTGTCATGTCGTGCCCCCTTAGACTCCAATGTGGGACAGAGAAATTACCTGAGGCAGTGTGACTCGGGGCCTAGAGGTAGTTATAGGTAAGTCTCTGAAGTACAGGTGACAGGGAGGCAGCCACATTAACAGGCTGTAGAATTTGGCACACAGTCTACAAAAGTCAAAATTAATTGACTTTGTTTTTAACATTGGCTGTTGGGATATCTGCATAGATTTTAAAATGATGTGTGTATACAAATTAAGGACTGAATTCAACATTCATAAATCAGAGTTCATTTACTTGAAATGATAAACTTAAGAATTGAGGGAAATGACCACATTTTACTTTTCCACCACCAATTTGCTACCTTTTTTTTTTTTTAATCCATTTTTGCCTTTCCCTCAGTTCTTCTGTCTGCTGGATCTCCTCCCTTTTCTCCTTTTTTAATTTTTTTAGTAAATGATAGCTGTGTACATTAATGTAATCATGGGGTACAGTGTGGTGTTTTCATATACAAGTTGAAATATTTTTATCAAACTGGTTAACATAGCCTTCATGTCATTTTCTTAGTTATTGTGTTAAGATGTTTATTTTCTACTTTTAGAAAGAGTCACTTGTACCCTTGAAAGATAAACCATAGAGGTGATTCCACCAATCACCTTCCCTCCACCCATCCTTTTCTTCTTTAAGTTGCCCATTGAACCACCTGTTCAAAATATGTCAATGTTTTGATTTATGCAAACTCCATGAAAGATGTTGATATCGTGTGATTTCTATTTGTATCATAAAGATTTATAGAAAATATTGCCGAGATACTTAAATACCCATATTTCTCTTCCCTGGATTATACATAAATGTAGGGATGGTGAAATATCTCAAGCACTAGAATTATTTACATGTCAGGTTCTAATCGACAGAGATGATTCAGTTAAATTTCTTTCAACTACCTTTTATTTTTTCAGGGGAAGAAGTTTGACTTTACTCTGAACTGCATTTGCCCCTTTTTTAAAAATGAAGTTTAATGAGAAAGACTCCTGTCAGTTAACAAAAAATGACTTCAGATTTACATTCTATTACCAATGGAATAGATGAACGAGGTTTGCTATTGAAAAGGCAGTTTACACCTTTTGTTGTTTTTGTCCATAAAACTCCTATTATGCTTCATGCATCCTTCTGAAGAATGTGCAAACAAGTATTAGATCAATGATGTGCCTTTGTAGTTTCTTTTATGAAAATATTTAAAACTGAATATTCAAACCTTCATATTTCACATGCCTGTCTCACAAGTACATTTATACCTAGGTGTGTTTCATTGCTAAATAATATTCTTGGGCTAAGGCACTAAATGCATTGAAACCTATGCTAGGAAGTCAACAACGTCCTTCAAAGGTGTTGGCAATTAAGCAACCACTCACTAGTGGCTTTGAAGTTTGCATTTGAAACTAGTATTTGAAAGTATTGTCCATTATTCACCATAAATGATGAATGCATTCAAAGTAACTCATGGCAAAGATATTTCATAAATGCAGTTTATTTTAGTTCGAGGGGCAAAAATGCAGGAGCATAATCAAATGTGATCAGACTGTGTGAAAATGAAACAGTTGAGTTTCCAAAAACTCCTGTAACCTAGATGAGAGGTTTCTCTCAGATCTCTGTAACATATACATACCTTCCATCTAACTTCTCTTTCATTGGTCTTTTTGGTCCCACAGAAATGTCCTGCATATATATGGACAGTTTATTGTTGACCATTTTAACAATGATTGTTTATGGCATGGAAATCCCAGGATGCACTTTTGCAAGCAGATTTGAGACCACCTGTTTAGAAGCTTGATCCCTAATTTGCATAGATAATACATTTTTAAAGCAAAATTATAGAGTATTAGTCAGCACTATGTGACTAATCATATATTTTAATGAAAAATATGTTTCGTCTTTGAGAATAAAACTGTATGCATTATCTATTAAATTAGACCAACATTGGGCAAATTTCATATTTCATTTCAGTTCTTTTGCATTTCGAAGTAACAATTTTCTTTCCGAAGTAGAAAGGAAACTTTTGAGAAGTTTCCTAATGGGCATTTCTCTTTTTCTCTATTGTAAAATCCCAGATTAATAAACTCTACTACTAATTGTAGTATATTTTCTTGTGCAAAATGGGCTATAAAGATGTGATGTCAAGCAACAAAAAGCAAGAGGCAACATTAAAAGATTTTTAAGGTAGTTCTTTTGGGTTGGTTAATGTCATGTGCTTTAATGTCACATTGGAAGGCTTTCTCAGGAGTAAATACCAAAATTAAATATTGAGCCATTCGATGAACAAGCTTCATTGGAAAAAGCTGAGACAAAACATATAAATACTATACTATATATGTTTAAGTATTGCCGATAGGGTTATTTTAGTTTGAATGATTATACACACTCAATCTGAAATGATAAAATTATATTGCAACATAATTGCATTTAACTATTTGTAGTTTTTCACTCTGGGAAAGAAATTGCATTCCTAGCGGCTTCTCAACTCCTGTAATTTAAATAAGTAAACCTTTTGTTCTTAAAACTTACTTAGTTCCTTCTAATTCTGTTGATGGACATCCAGTTCTACTGCCTTATTTTATGTTAATATCTAACAAAAGAATGCTGTTAGCCTCCTGCCAGTAAACGCCCCACCTCCTTTGTGGGGGTGGGGTGGGGGGATTCTTTTCTAGCCTTTTACTTTACAGAAGACTTTAAACTTCCTCTCTCCACATCCAGTCAAGAAGGGAATTTCTACTGGAGCTAAAAATTCCTAGGAAAAGGCTATAACCCCCAAGTGTGGAAGGTGGTTCTTAGCTGTCAGTTCTCTTTTGTTATTCGCTCAAACGGAATTATGAAATGTTCGTGGCTTTGTAGGGCAGAACACATTTCTCTCGAGCAAATGCAAATGCATTAGGTGTGCCCAGGTAATTTGAAGTGTTCATGCTGGCAGCTTTTCTGCATGAGTAAAGCTGTTTAATTAATGCATTTTCTCCTTCCTTCTGATTAGTTGATTCTGATTTTCTTTGAATAAATTAAACTCTCTGTAATATGCTTCCTATAGCTTCCTGGGCTACCCAAGCCCTGATACCTCCCACCAGGAGGGCAGATGCAAAGAAATGAAATGATTCCTCTGCATATTTCTCACAGAGATTTTTCTCCTGTACAAAAGACTCTGATTTTCCTGGTAATGTGGCTCCAGCGAATGATGTGTTCAAAGAGGATCTTCGCGTTTCTGTTGATGTTGCTCATTGGTAATTGTCTTTCGAATTCAAACTCTGGAACTGGGTGGTAGATCCATTTAGTTTTATTTCATTGAGATTTGGGAAGTAAACATTCAGTGAGGTGGGAAAGAAGTGGCATAAACCCTTTCTGTAATAACTGTAGCTGCTTTCCGAGTGTGCCAGCCTTTGTAGATGGCATGGGAAGGTAACATTCTCCGGGCAGTGCCACAGGTTTCTAAAGGAGACTGATTTGCAAAAAGAATTTCTTTGCATCAGAAAAGGCAGCGTAGTATAGTAGAAGGAAGGGTGCGATTGGAGTCAGGAAAGCCTGTGTTTTAAGCCCTAGCGCTACCACTAATGGGTTTTTGTAAAATCAAGGTCTTGCAGCAGACCTGATCACTTAGTTGGGGCGCTCCTTACACGTGAGGCATATTGCCAAATATAAAATCGCAAACTTGTCCTGTCTTTGCTTCCAGAACCAAAAGGGAAATCCCTAAAGAGAATATTTGTGTCCACGACATCCCCACCACCTCTTCAAATTCCACTGGCATACATTACAGAGGTAATGCAGTTACATTCTTGAGAAAATTATTAACGAACATAATGACAATAGTCCTAAGATAACTACTGTACTTGGCATTTTATAACCCTTCCCTCCTAGACACTTGAGAGGGCAGCAGCATTTTGGATTCATTTTCATATATGTGGTGATTTCTTTTCTTGTTTTTCAAGATAAGATTTCACTCTATCAGCCGGGCTGGAGTGCACTGGCGTCATGATAGCTCACTGCAACCTCAAACTCCTGGGCTCAAGCAATCCTCTTGCTTCAGCTTCCCGAGTATCTGGGAGTACAGGGGCTGCATCACCATGTTTGGGTAGTTTTTCTATGTTTGTAGTGACGGGTGTCTCACTCTTGCTCAAGTTGGTCTCAAACTCCTGGCCTCAAGTGATCCTCCCACCTCAGCCTCCCAAAATGTTAGGGTTATGGGCATGAGCTTCTTTCTTTTTAAATCTCTTGTCAATGAACATTTCTTGCTTCTGAGGCCCTTTCTGTTTAAGGTACTCAGCATGCCGAGGTCCCATCCTTTTGGGGGTATCATTCTGACCTTCAACAGAAGTGAATGTCAATGCTGCCGTTACAGTCATATTCTCTCTCTCTCTCTCTCTCTCTCTCTTTTTTTTTTTTTTTTGAGACAATCTTACTCTGTTGCCCTGGATAGAGTCCTGTGGTGCCATCATAGCTCACAGCAACCTCAAATTCTTGGGCTCCCCCAATCCTTTTGCCTCGGTATTTTTCTATTTTTAGTAGAGATGGGATCTCACTTTTGCTCAGGCTGCTTACAAACTACTCAGCTCAAGCAATCTGTGGCCTCCGTTTCCCAGAGTGCTAGGAGTATAGGCGTGAGCCACCTCGCCCGGCCCAGCTTCTCTGAGTTTTCATAACCATCTATTACCGGCCTCTATTGTTCAATCGATAAACCCAGTATCTCAGGGCAAATTGACTTGGCTTATTTGTAGAAATAAGTATAGCTCACTTTATACTCCAGAAGTGTTCTTGGAAATTTTCTGTATGATTATGAACTGGTCAAGTGGGAATAATGTTTTTACACTGACCTTTATAATTATGTTAAGATCCTCTATGTTCACGAATGGTTTTCCTTGACGTCTCTCACCTCTCAAAGTAGCTAATAAGCTAGATTTAGTAGTGTTTAAAGTAGACTAATTTTATTAAGTGGACAATCACTCCTTAATGAACAAATTTGCACACCCTCCTTGCACAGGGGCCATGCTTATCTTCTCTGTATCATCCCAATTTTAGTATATGTGCTGCTGGAGAGAGCATTTCATGAATTAGTTTAACATGTGGCTCCCTCTGTTTTCTGTTTACATTTTAAAATTTTGAAATAATTTCAAACTTACAGGAAAGTTATTAGAAAAATACAAAGAGGTACTTTTCACTCAGATTCCTCAATTAGTTGCATTTCATTTCTAATTCTCTTTAAATAAATATATATTTTTGTATATATTTTTTGAATCAAAGGAATCAAAAAATACATATTTTTTGAATCAAAGAAAAATAAATTGCAAACGAGATGCCTATTGCTCCTAAATATTTCAGAGTGAGAGTCATGTGTGGTGGCTGTACCCTTAGCATCAGCCATTTAGGAGGCTGAGGTGGTAAGATTGCTTGAGCCCGGGAGTTCAAGACCATCCTGGGCACCATAGTAAGACCCTGTCTGTAAAAAAAATAAAGTGTGTATTTTCTACAATACAAGGGTATTCTCATGTATAATCATAGTACTACCATCAAAACCAGGAAATTAACAATACTATACTATACTACATATCTAATCCATAGACCCCATTCAAAATTCACCAATGGTTCAATAATGCTCTTTATAGCAATCAGTCAATGAATAAAACATAATTTGCTTCTGGCCTGAGTTCAATCCAGGATCATTTATTACATTTACCAGTCATGTTCCTTTCAGTTTTCTTCAATCTGGAACAAGTTCCTCAGCTTTTCCTTGTCTTCCATGAGCTACATTTTTAGAGTACAGTTATTATAGTTATTTTGTACATTGCCCCTCAGTCTGAATCTGAATTTTTCTTCTGAGTATATTCAGTTATGCATTTTGGGCAAAAATATCACAGAAGTGATTTTTTTTTTTAATATATCATATCAGCAGGTGTTTTGAGTTGTCCCATGACTGATGACATTCTTGTTTTTTTGAGACAGAGTCTCACATCGTCACCCTGGGTAGAGTGCCATGGCATCATCATAGCTCACAGCCACCTCAAACTCTTGGGTTCAAGTGATCCTCTTGCTTCAGACTCTAGAGTAGCTGGGACTACAGGCATGTGTCACCATGCCCAGCACTTGCTCAATGCATTGTAATTAATGTTAGTTTGCTTGTATTCCCCCACTCAACTTTTAAATACCTGAAAAAAGGGTTAAGACAATGTTGTTGGCTCGGTGCCTGTGGCTCAAGTGGCTACGCCGTCAGCCACATACACCTAAGGTGACAGGTTTGAATC